TTTGTGAGGTGTATAGATTTTTATAAAATTGCATAAAAATACTATTTACTTTTTCCTGATCGTAAGTTGTATTCCCAGTTGGTTTTTTACCTTAATTGAATCGTGTTTAGTTTAAGTTTACCAACATTCCGCCATACTACTTAAACACAGCTCTCGCGAGGTCTCAGCAGCAGCTCATCCCCAAAAAACAAACAAACAACAAAAGTTTTTTATGTCTCTTCAGAGAGAAAGAGGAGAAATCCTTCTGCTCGTATACCTCCGCGGCCTGCGCACCCCGCAGCTGCGGCCAGTTTAGCAGATTACATGATGGCAGAGGAGGCGAGCTCCTACTAGAACATTCTCCCCCGTCTAAACGAATCAGCTATATGGGGATACTTTGGCTACCGTAAAAAAGCAGACGGCAGCGGTTTGGAGGAAGAAGGTTATCTTTCATGCAAAACATTCTTGCGGACAGTGGCAGCCATAGGAGGCAACACGTCAAATAAGATGGTGCACCTACGAGGTCACCACCCATCACTGTTTGCTACATTGAAGGTAAAATTATGCTATCTTGAAATGAACGAACTACCTTTAGCATCAGACATTGGTGAAACATAGGCTATCTCTGCGTTACTGTGGCTTATTGTGTCAGTCACAACTCGTTTGCAAGAGTGTTGTGGAGTTGCTGAATTGTGTATTTAGTAAGCTTAAGCTTTAAGTGAAAGGCAAAAATAACCGAGTCCCTGGCTTCGTAGCTTAGCAGCTCTTTAAATGAACACACATTTCTTATAAACGTTAAAGGGGAATGAATTTTCTGCATTAGGTTTGATCAAAAATACGACGGAGCATTATGTCCAAAGTCCAAACATTTTTTTTCTAAATTACTAGAGTTGGAGTTAAGCATTACAGTAAATTTGAATAAAGTTTTATATTATGTGAACTCCTACACACAAAAAAAAAACTGTCTTACGTGTGTGTTACGTGCGTTAAAATGAGGAATCTTTTACAAAACAAGAAATATTTATCTTTTTAACATGTTTAACATAGCTGCTGTTTAGCTGAGCTGGTCACATCTGATATTGATAACTACGTTTTTTTTTCTTATTGAAACAACTTTTTTCCTCCTAATTTTGACAACTTTCTTCTGTTAATAACATTTCATATTATATAATATTACAATTTTCTTTTAATATAACTTTATTCTGGTATTATTATTATTAATAATTAATAATTAATTAATATTAATTATTATTTATTCTTGTAATTTTCATATAAAAAACAACTTGGTCTGCCCCTACTCTGTCGTACTAAAACAGCTTCCAAAAGAAATTTAAAGATGATGACTGTAGAAAATATGGTGATTAATTTGAAATTCCAGTTAAATTCACATCAAATTTTAATTGCTTTTTGTTTTAAGAATAACAGTGGCTCTGGCAACAACAAGTTATTTACACCAAAAGGTGAAGATCAGCCCACAATTCAGCAAGCATTTAAGATGCAAGTCACCTATGCACCCACATCAAAGCATGCTAAAGACCTTAACAGTGCAGGTGTTCTTTTGAAAAGTGCGTATTTAAAAACAAAAACACGAAGAGACTTTTCTATAAGTAATACACAGCCAATTCTCTGAAGCACCTTCTCAGAGACTGTGGCTCTGCTGAAGACTCATCATCATCTCCTCTGACCACAGCTGAATCTGAGAGGAGCTTTTCAACACTGAAGAGAATCCAGACTTTCCTAAGGTACATCACATCTCACTGCACTGACCATGATCCAGAGTCATGAAGATATTTGCTTCTCAGTTACAGAAGAGCAAAATTTATATACATAAAATAAAATAAAATAAAACACTACATGACATTGTAATTCTATTTTATTATTTTCATTTATTTAATAAATAAACTGCCGTTAAACAACTTAGTGATTACTTTTTGAGATACGTCTATTTTGGAGTTGTAGCCCCGCCCCCGGAGAAAAATCCACCAGTATATCGCTGCCAGTGATAAGAAGATAATTCTGAACAAAAGTTGAGCGCGTTGTAGTGCATATTTAGTCAATGGCATGTACACACAACAGTATATATTTGATCATTTATTTTATTTTATTTTTTACATTTTAGGGGAAGCTGAGATTCCCTTGCAGTATTAGAGCAATGGCCTCTGCAAAAGGAGAGTGATCAGATGTCTGAGGCTGAAGGACAACAGGAGCAAACTGAGACATCGATGGAAAACAACGCACAAGTGGCTGATATGGAGACTGCTGCAGAATCAGAACCACAGAGGGTAAGTAAGTAACTAAAATTGTATTTATAAAGCGCCTTTCACAGAAATGGAATTCACAAGGTGCTGTACAATAAGCAATATTATAGAAAGAGTTGATAGGCAAAAGATGCTGTACAATAATCGAACACAAATAGAAAAACAGAAATACTTGACAATTACATTACAAATGATGAAATTCCAGTCAGTACATTCTCAATTTTTGGAATAGTAGGGGGCATGGAATAAAAATGATGAAGAAAAGAGTAAATAAGGTACAGTATAGACAATAGATAGGCTTGCCTGTAGCTAATTTGAGTCGATGGTCGTGGCATTTAAAATTTAAATGAGTCAGAAGTAAAATACGTGTTTTGCAGTCATGGAAGTTTAGGTCCAGGATTATGTTGTGGACGGCAGGATACCTTTAGCTAAATGCTTGAGTGAATAAATGTGTTTTTAGTTGATTTTAAAGGTGTCAGTGTTGTCAAGGGATCGCAGATGGACCGGGAGAGCATTCCAAAGTCTGGGAGCCATGGAGGAGAAAGCACGGTCTCCGCGGGTCTTGAGACGGGTAGGGGGGACCATGAGAAGGTTCTGATTTTGTGAACACAAATTGTGTATTGGATTGTAGTGGGAGATGAGGCTCGAGGTGTAATTGGGCGCCTGGCCATGTAGGGCTCTGAACGTCAGAACTAGAATTTTGAATCTGAGTCTGAAGTGGACAGGTAGCCAGCGCCGCTCTGATAAGATCGGAGTAATGTGGGAGAGTTTTGAAGCGAGTTAGAAGTCTTGCTGCTGAGTTTTGTTCAAGTTGAAGACGGTTAAGCTGTTTTTGGTTCACGCAGGTGAACAGACTGTTGCAATAGCCTAGGCGGGTCGAGACAAAGGCATGTACTAGCATTTCTACATCTGAGGCAGACAGTATAGTCTGCAGATGACAGGAGTTACTTCAAGCTGCAGAACCGGAAGAACATCTGGATTCATCAGCAACACAAACAGAAGAACCAGAAAATGGATTTCCTCAACCTACAACTGGAAAACAACTGACCATTACTTCTCTACCAGAGAATACCAAACCAGCAACTGAGAACAGAGGATGGGATGAAACTGAAGACCCTGTTAAATGAGAAAATGAGCGTTTGGATTATCGCACAAAGCTCTGAAACCTCTGGGCAAAGAAAAAAAACAAATGGACAGAAAAGAAGAAACAAAAGTGTAAAGGGAGCATTATAAGTCTTAATTCTGGGGAAGGAGAGAAGGAGTTACAAGAGTGGAAAAAGTTACAAGACTGGTCACCCTGGTGATGAATATTTATGTCTCGGAGGAGTTAAAACTTAATTTCTGGAGTTGGGAAATGTTTAGAAATATCCTGCTGTGATAAATAGATGTTAAAACGTACCTTTATAAAGTTTTCATAAAATGTCCTTTTAGTTTTGACATATTTTATGTTTGTCAAAGGGGGGGGGGGGAGTTGAAGGAAATTTTGTAACTGATTAATTGAATGTTAGTTACAGTATTGTGTTTTATACTTTCTGATCATTTCAGCCTTTAAGTTTAAACAGAATAAGAGTTGGTGTGTGTCTTATCATGTGTTCTTTCTTTAGCGTAAATGTAAAAGAGATGAACATTATAAGGTCAATTCATTATTATAATAAAAAGAAGTGTTAGTGTGCTGCAGAGTCTCTGCTCAGAGCAGAGCTCCTGTGTTTTGTTTTCAGTTCAAGGTCTTACACTGAGGCCTGCTGAGTGCTGTACCTGATTGGAGTCAGAAGATTGAGAATAAAGTTTTGACAAGAAATCCAGTTGGATTCCAGTTTATTCGGACATTTCATTTTGAACAACGCACATTTTTTCCTTCAGAGAATTTGTCCAAGCACTGAACCCTGAGGAACTCCATGACTAACTCTGGTTTAAGAAGAAGATTCATCATTAACATTTTCAAACTATCAAATACGAATTAACCCATTTCAGAGCCGTTCCTGTGATCCCAATATTTGTAACAGATTATTATCAATTTTATCAAATGCAACACTGAGATCTAACAAACTGTCCACTGTCTGAAGCCATGAGAATATCATTAGTAACTTTCATCAGTGCCGTTTCTGTGCTCTGAACTCTAAACCCTGACTGAAACTCCTCACACAGATGATTTCTGTCCATTGGTTCTTTTTAACAAATCCTTGAATCAAATTGTTATAAGCACAATCATAATATAGTTTGTGCATTCTATTAATTAAATCTAAAGGTTATTTTTTCCACCACCAAGAAAAAGCAACATGAAAACATTGGGAAGCCTTTTTACCAGAAGCAATCTGACATGCTGAAATTTCTTTGCAAAGAACATAGGAAGGAGAAAGGTTATTTCTGTGTCAAGTGCATATTTGGACACAAGTAAAACATTATATCTCATTTGTGTATTACTGTTGCCCTGCATGTTTTTGCATGTGTTTGTGCCTGTGTACAGTAATGAGTTCATGTTTCACCTCATAATTTACTTTTAAAGCCTGAAGGGCCGATAAACAGTTAGAAGAGTGAGTAACTCTTCAAAGACGTGCCCTTGGCAGAGTGTGGTGCAGCACAAACTGGTTCTGGCCTAGTTGACAGAGAAAATGACCGACTTTCCCTGCTTCACAGCTATTGGCAAGAAAATACAGAAAAATTATAAGGATGAGCATCAGCTGTCGCTCCCATGTGAGCAGGGACATAACACTGGGACTAAGTGCTGCAGGGGCAGAGTAAACTGCATTAGTGACTGATACAGGGGACAATGTTGACAATAGGACAAAAAAAGAGAGAAACATTAAAAAGTCCAACATTCCTTCATGGAATGCATAGCACCCACTCATTTAAGACCAAGGTTTTAGACTTGGATTATCTTTTGCTGAACAATGATTAAGTTAATCATTTTGTTTAAATTCTAAATATATTTGTGATTTTGTGAGATTACAAGATGGCAGTGTCTGAATGTGTGTTATGAATGACTCACAGCTACAACTACTAATACTAATGGGCAGCTGTGGCTGAGTGGTTAAGGGAGTCATCCTCTAACCAGAGAGATGGCGATTCGATTCCCCACTATTCAGTTGAATGTTGACATGTCCGTGGGCAAGACACTGAACCCCCACTGCATCTGATGTGTCTTATCAGTGTAGAAGTGTGATTTAAAGTCATGATTAGTCTTCATATAATGATCTGTACATGTAAGCTTTGTAGAGAGATAATAAAGTGCTATGTGGATGGGTGAATGAAGACACAAATAGTGTAAAGTGGTTTGAATATCCTGGTTTATGATAAGTACAGTCCCTTTACCATTTACTAATTTACTACCACACCATTTTTAGCTATGTACCTGTAAAATTGACTGATTGAGTTTTAGTCATTTTGTGTTGGCTAAAACTGATTAGCTGTGGTGGCTATTCTGAATTGGATCAACTCTAAAAGTTAATCAGTTTTAGATGTACAGTATTTCCAGGGAATATCATTCTAATCTGTCAAGTGATGCATGAGATAATTTGCTGAAAGACACAGGCCTGACTCCACAAGTAATGTCAAAGTTTTTTGAGAAAGAACTCACGCATTGAGAAGCACCCAAAGTATGTGTTGGTAATAAGTGGGGCAAATAAGGGTAAAGACAGGTGTGGCTTTGTCAAACCACAGAAAAGTAGAAGCAATTGTTTGGATACTAACAGAAACAACCCTATCACAGGCTGTCCTTCTCTAACCTCAGCCACCACTACTACAAATGACTCTTTATCGCCATCACACAGCTCAAATTTGTAAAAACAGGCCAAAATACAGCAATACTTGTGTCTTCTTAGGGGAGTAGGCCGTAGTGGCAAACTTGAGTTGTGTTGGTTACAAAACATAAATAATTGCAAAGGTACTGTCAATAATTATTATCTGAAAGTTTCAAGAAAACTCATCCTAGGGTGTATGAGATATTCTGCTGAAAGACCGTATTGACTCCAAATAGTTAATGACAAAATTGTAAACAGAGATCTTGAAGAATCTATTAGAGCACACACACGTATTGGCAAAAACATCCTCTGCCAGTGTCCACTGGCATTAAAGGACAAAAAAAGTGCTTAACAACAGAAGGTACAGCATTCTCTTGCGCAGCATGTATTATACAGAGGCATGAGCTTTCATCTGGAAAAACAATGATGGATGGGAGTAGGAGAGCCCACTTCTTATCTTTCTAACAGCTCATAGTCTCATTCACAGCTGAGAAAAAGCCCAGGAGCTACATCAGGAAGAAATAAGGCATCTCAGTGCACCTGCAGCTGCTGAAGAGGCTGAATTATCCATGTTAGGAGACTCACACAGGCCACCCTGAGGTAACACCATCACATATATCACACCACCGTGAGGAGCTTCTGGATTAAACATGAGCTGTGATAAACCTGCCATACACAACCCAGTGGGCACAAATGTTTGTTTTCACACAACGCAATTCATAAATGACTTCCAAACTTTCAAATGAAGTGTTAAAACCTGTGTTGAACATTTGTCTGCAGACAGGTGGTGTCTGAACTCCTCATGCAGACCATCTGGCTTGTTTCAACTGTAGTGTCTTCAAAATGAAAACTCACCCTATTACAGCAAAGGCAGGAAGCTCCTGGAGGTCAAAGGGAAAGTCGAGGCGGAAACGGGTTTTAAAAAGTGCTGTGATGGTCTCTGTAAAAAAAGACAAATACAACCTTAATAAAAAGAACATGCCACTGGAACATCAAATGATGGGATTTTGAAGATTGTGATCTGTTACGGAAACTCATTTTTATATTTAAGATAAAGACAATTAAAATTAAGTGAAGATCCAACATTCCTTAAATGAATAATACATAACATAATGTGTTAAATTATATTCAAATTTCTGTCCAAAAAAGCATGATTCTGTATGCCTCATTGCACAGAGGGGAAAAAAACAGTGTCACTGTCTTTGGTTGTTTCATTATTAACAAGTCATTTGGATAAAATGCATTATTCATGTTAGTAATGAAACATACTTCTCCTGCTGTGTAAAAAGTTACTTTAATGTTCATATTCAACTCAAAATATTGATCTGTCACAAGTGCAGTTTTAGATGAGGATGCTGATTTCAAAATACTGTGAGTACTGAATATTTTATATTGCTTAACCATACCCATTTCTACAGCAGTAGAAGCTGGTTTTAATATCACAATAATATACTATATTTTAACTATTTAATATTTGTGTCATAGACAGTGGTGTTATTTCCTCAGGTGGTGGTATGAGGGGTAAACAGAAAGCAACCCACTGCACCCAATACCAAATCAGATCAGGCATTTTATTAGAGCATAGAAATATACAGGTTATTTAAAAGCACATATTGCTATACAATTCTAGCCAAAACACACACATTCAGCTTGCTGTTTACAAGAGTAAACAGGTCTCTACCAGTGGACGCTACATGTTAACATGTCAATTATGAATTTGTTGTTCAATCAGAGCCGGTTAAAAAATTATCTGACATGTTTGTTCAGTTCACTGTTTACTATTTACCTCAGGTTCCCTGCTCCACTGTGGAGTGTATTTATGGAACAAGAGTGATGTGACATGCTCAGAGTAAAATTAACTTGAAACATTCAGCTTAGATTAAAGCAAACTTTACAACATAATCAGGGGATCCTGACCCAGGCATCAGGTAACATTTAATAATACTTTTAAAAGGAATCAACTAATATTATGGAGCATTGAAGTTATCAACCAAAAATGTATTCAACCATGCACAAAAAATTATAACAAAGAATAAATGTTTATACAATTTAAATATTTCCAACTAATAACAGCTTAGACTTAATTTGTTCAGTTTATGTCAAAAGCAGGCTGCTAAAGTCCAAATATTTTATCAGGATATTTTAATGGAGTTCCATTTACTCAAAAATGAATCGTCCTGAAAACGTTTCCCATTTATTGGCTTTAAATCTCAATCCAAAAATAAAGTCCAAAAAGTCAAAAATCCCCCTCAAAAGACGAGAAAAAAAATAGTGGTACGACACAAAAACTGTCAAAAATAAAAAAGCTTTGATCTCACCCAGGGCTCTGTTCTTCCCCTCGGTGACGTCCTCTCGCTTGAGTCTGCATTTTCCTGTATCCCGACAGTTTATGATTCCGTGATCCGTGGTGCTGGGGTAAATCTAGTCACTTTTTTTCTTATTTTTTCACAATACTTGTTTAAACGTCCTTCAAAAAGACAACAAAACTCCCGCTGCACGGATCTGAAGGAGTGAATGTCTCTTGCGAGTTGGACACGCCCCCTTTTAATCTCTCTGCTCAGTCACACCAGAAACCATTCATGATCTTGTCCAAAATCAATTCCAAACAGTGAATAACATTTAGATAATCCATAATAAAATAAGTGAAACTGTCCTAACAAACAGTTGCCATATTTATATACCACATATTTTCTTTGAAAGGAACATAAACATAGTGGTTATGTTACAATCCAAAAAATCAATCCACTTTAGTATTGACATGTTCTGACACAAATGTTACTATCATAGGCTTCTGTGGATTCTCAGTCATCCAGGACATGAAAAATTAAAACAAACAAACAAACAAACAAAAAAAACAAAGCAACTGGACTTCTGTTCTGTAGCTTTAGACATGTGGAGCTTCAAGATTTTAACTACTCCTAACCAAACAATAACCCTGTGTTTTTAGAATCACTGTGTAATGTTTAAGACTTAACTCGGTAAGTACTCGGTATTGGTACTTGATGGGAAAGTACCCAAACTAAAGTGCTCGTACTCAGAAAAACTGGTATCGGAACACATCGAAAATTAACTTAGAGAATAAAAATGTGTCTGATATCAATATAACCAAATGTTTGTTTTTATTTACTATTTAACAAAAAAAGACATGAAAAGGCGTTATTCAATCATTCACTATTTCTTATTCAAAAAACGTCCCAATATTTTATACTCCTGTAGTTGACATCTGTGGCATGAGGCACAGAATAGTAAAAGAGAGAAAATTTGCTAGTGTGACCACAACGGTTACCTTCGTCTCTGTTCCAAACTGCCAGCACTCTGAAGATAAAGGCACTGAAGGTAGCTGCAAAGAAACCTCTCCAGTAGTTCCTCACAGCAAAGAACGTAGATGTTACTTCGATGCTAAACAACACTCCTGTAACACACAAATACCCCATTTCACTGATGTGAAAAAAAAAATAAAAAAAACAAAATCTTGATCGGCAGGAACCTACATAACCTTAAACAAAAGGATTTTTTTTCTTAAAACATGATTATAATCACACACAGACAAATTAGTTAGCTAGTATCTGCAGATATGAGGCTGACAGTTTGCAGTGTTGAAGCTCCTTTGGCCTCTTTCACCAGATCAGAACAAGTGAAGAGGAGTTGAGAAATAACTAGAAAAAAATCTGCTTGAAGCTTAACAGAAGATGTAACACACACGTGAGATCAGTTCTGCTGCAAGCCAAGACTCTAAATTTAAACATGTGATGATAAAACACAAACCAATGAAGACATTTTCACTTCTGGAGGAACCCATCTAATTTAAGTGTGGCCTAGATTAGGAGGGCTTTATTACAGGGATTTTCTGGAAACTTGCCTCCAATTGGAGCAGCAAAACAGCAGCCCACTCCCACAGCACAGGCAGCTGCCAGCATCTCGATATTCCTTGACTCATTCTGAAACACAAACATGGTGACTGATCAGTTTTTCCTCAAATACCTTATTTGAAAAAATGCATATGATCATTTATAGCCTTCTGTGTATGGAGTACCAAAGCTAACATAATTGAAAAGAAAAGCAGACCTATACAAATAGCCCCAAAAATGCACTTAAATCACACCAATTAAACTTAAAAAGGAGAACTTTACCTCATGTTTCATAATTTAATTTACCATCATATTTATTTTTCCAGCTTAGTTTCAACAAATGATATATCTTAGCACATAAATTGTTATGGTTTATAAAAATATATACATTTTTTGTTTTTCCTTTTACTTGTAAATTCATTTGTGTCTCTTAAATTTTTATTTTTATTATTTTTCTTCACAAGTTTTATTCTCATGAGATGTTTTTACATTTTTCCATCTCTTGTTTTTACTTTACCTCATGCATTTCTGCTTCGTTATGCAAATAAGGGGTGCTGCCAATCTTGCAGCTACTATAGGTCAATAGTCAAAAAAGAGCAGGACCCATGTGCAGATGGATTGGCCGTTTCAGGAGAATGCACCTATTTGAAGCTCCCCTTAACAACTTTGAGACAAACATTTCACTCCCACCATAACTACACTAAGCTGAGGCAGTGCAGGCATGCGCAATCAATCTGCACATGGATCCTGCTCCCTACAGTCTGTTGACAGATAATAGAGGAGATGACCCAAGTAGGGCAGTCCACCTCATTTGCATAATAAAAAATTAAGAGACACAAATAAACAAGAAACAAGGGAGGAAAAAAGATAAATGTTTAAAAAGAGTAAAATGAGATTGGCTCATGGTGCATTCAGAGAAACAGAACCAATGTTGTTTTGTTTTTTGGCAGAGCTGGTGGAGCATAATATACGTACCTTTACATCCAGCACACTGATGTCCTTCAGGCAGCATTGCAGTGGTAAAGAAAGGTTAGTGCGTGTGTGTTACTCTAAATGTTTGCTGGCTTATCCTGCCTTTGCACGCTGCACTATTTCTGACCGACACACACATCCTTCTAAACACCCACAAAAGACAAATAAAGCCCATCCTGACCCAAATACTGCTGGGTCTGAATTTTCCATGTGGGGAAACATCAACCAAAGTGGCTTCAATAAAAAGAAGAAGATGATTGAGCCAAACAATCAGTCTGGTTTCTTTTTTTCTTTTTTCTTTTACCCAGCTGAATATTTGAATGTGTGTGCAGTGTAGACACTAATTTATGGCTAAGAAAATCTTTTGGATAACTTTAAGGTCAAACAGATGAGAAATTATCTATATAAGAAGGCTTGAGTGGTATGATGGTATTTTGGTATACCTGGATATTGAGATATGGTGACGGTATATAAAAATCATTAGTCACATGAAGTGATGCATCAAATTTCTTGTCAATTTCCTCAAGACTGCTAAGAAAACTGGGACATCTACATTCTACACTCCTTCAGGAGATGACCCATAATGTTACTAATGTGTGTTCTGACCGCCTCATCTCATTCAGAAGAAAATATTGCTTCTGGATTTAAACTTTTGTTTATACCGTGGTATGAAAATGATCAATGATTAAGGATGATGGCTGACAAGTAAACTTCACAATGTGAATCAGTTTGATGAGACTTCTCAGTGGACAGATGCTTGGAAATGTGCAAATGAATTACCTTAATCCCGATAAGAGCAGGCTCCTTCAGGTAGCATGGGAGTAAGAAACAAAGTTAAGCTAGCAGAGAGCTAATGATCAAATTGTGTGCATCAGCATTTCTTTTTGATTTTCACTATTCTCACTTAATTCAAATTCACAGATTTGAATAAAAAACACGTTTTACAATTGGCTTCAATCTAGTTCTCTTCAAATAATGACATTCTCCACATGCTTGTTGAAGCTCTTGTCCCTGGGTTTTAAAGTGCAGCACTCGGAGAAAGGAAAGCTGCTTTTTTCCAGCCCACAGGCTACATTAGCATAGTGTGCTTAAATTCTGGAGAGAGCAAGATGCTGCTGCAGTGGGACACACACACACACACACACACACACACACACACACACACACACACACACAC